AAAGAATGTCAACAATTTCGGATTCCTTAATCTGAAACTTACTTCAAAAAGAGGTTTAGAACCCTTTCTTTGAGTTACAATACCTTGGTTCCAGTGTTTTAAACCTCCAAAATCCTCCATTACTCCTTCCCCACTACGCAACAAGCAAAACTTTGTTGCAAATGCACTTTTGTCAATTCCCTTTGCAACTCCTTAACTCCAATACCTTTTCAGGTTCAATGCATTCAACCAGTGTAGAAAATGTGTAGAAATGTCCAGGCATAAGTATCGAGACAGGTATCAACGTCTCAGCGAAACGATAAACCTTCGGCGAAAATATCATTGAAAGCCACAAGTTGTATAGCGGCACCTTCCTGAGATAGCACTGCTCTGTTAGAAAGCAATTGTATATGAAAATGACATACATCGCGCAACTTAGCTTCACCGTCAGTCGGAATTTTGGTCCAAAACCATTCACAGTAACAGCAATGTCAACCGCATGCTTTGGATCAGTGGAGATTGACGCTGCAGACGTGGACGCCATAGCAGCAAATGCTTTCGTCGTATGGTATTTGATAAGGAATAAATCCCGTTGGTATGTCTGAAATCCTCAAATTCAAGTGTTTTGCTATACACAAGAAAACTCCGGAAACAGAAGATTGCCATAACATTTATTTTATACCTGGTTGATCTGATTGACGTTCTCTCTCTCGCGTACGGTTTGATCGATGAAGATCTTGCTCTTTTTAGGGATATTCAGCTTAATATTGTAAGCTTTCGGTGGAGCTGAGATATCGATTCGATCGTCCAAGGAGGCTTTTCGGCGAAACAGCTTTACAAGAAGACCACCATCTGTGGAAAAAAAAAAACGAATGAGTTGGTTCATGTAAGCGATAGCCTCTGATGGCAGATTATTTCCAAAATACCGATTTTTGTCTGTTCAATAGTAAGCTAAAATTGTTTAGATTGCACACCAAAAGTTGTTTTAAAGCACAAAGGAGTGTATCTAAAGAGTTTGTAATGTGGCTTTCTTCAGATGCAGTGGAGATCTTCGAATCAAAATCATGTGTACAAACTTTCCCTAGCACTCCTTTTTCACACACTTTCGCTTTTATGTCAGATCACTGCTATATTTCACTTTTTATCCTTACGCGGATTTATAAGCACCACACCAGATTTATGTAATCTGACATATGACTTCGCACAATTCTAGAAATGCGTCCAAGGACGGAAACCAAATATATTTAAACTCATTGCCCTCTCAAGCTTTTCAGGGCAAATGACCTAATAAGCCTTAATAAATGGCAAAACAAAACATTTTCTTGGAAAAATTGGATAGATAGATAAGTACGTAGGAACTACCGAAAGGCAGCGTATTCCAATCACGTGTTACTTCCATCCATGTTTAGCAATCGTGGAAGGAATCGTTGACCGTGTTCTTTAATCCTCTACTACTAGGAAGATGTCGTAAAAAAAAGGAAAAAAAAAACAAGGTATTCCCTATTTCCCTACTGCAACAACTATTATTTTTCTTTCTTCCTCTCCCCATCCTCCTCCTCTTCTCCCCAACATTAAAACTAGGAAAAGAAACTTAAAATAGGCATATAAGAGAAAGGGATTTTTCTACCACGTGTTCCCAAAATGAGAGCGCCTTCTTCTCTTCCAAACTGGCCAAACTTGATCCATGAAAGAGATCTTTCAACTTTTACAATATCCAGAAGATTGAGGTGGGTGTAAAGACGAATCTATAATAAAAATTGAGCTGTGCTTGAACAGCATGGTTGGCTAGCAGTATTGAATAAAATCGAAGTTAATAAAAGCAAAATTGTAGACCTGATTCTCGAGTAGCACGAGCACACCTTCAAACTGTTTTGGTGCATAATGAAAGGGCTCGAGTCCTTTGATCGGTTCTCCTGTTGATACTGTATTCAAGCATTTGCCAGCAAACGAGTAAAA